GCAGAAGGATTTGGTTCTTCTGAAGAACCACCTGCTGATTCTGCTCCACCCTACACTGTGTCATCTTCAGTGGGAGCAGTCTTTGGAGTTTTCCTTGGGCGTGAACACCTTCATTGGGAGTTACTGCTACTCTGTATCAAGTATATCTCTCTCCTACCTTTTGGTTTTAGATCTGGTTCGGTTTAGGTTCAAGATTGATCCTTGAAAATGCAGATTTTCTAAAACAGGGAATGTGATTCCCATATGGGAGAGAAAAATTTTTGAAATTTCGCCCTACCTACCTACAGGGTTCGGCTATCCATATGATGGATCTCTCATCCCTTCAGGTCAAAACCTAGGTATGTTGGGACAGTTCAAGAATTCATCTGAGTGGGTGATCATAGTGACAGGATCAACCCCTTTGTCGGACAAAGTGAATGTTCGGGTATGCACTCTCTCTGATGGAAACCAAAACTGCTGGCAGTCGATTTCAACCGTTGAAATTTGTTTTGCAAATATATATATATATATATATATATTATGGTTTCAAAATGTTTGCAAAAGGTTTTAATTCTCATGATCCATGTGAGTAGAGAGTGCAACACTGTACCTTGCAGCCAATGGAGAGGTCCTCTCTTGTCGGGCAGTGTTTGATCATTATGGGCTGAGAGGTTAAGTGTAAGACCATTGAGGGTAATACCTGATGAGCTAATCTTGCATCTACTTACAGTCCTTAGGTTTCTATAAGGTGGTTTGACCCAGGGACCATTTAGTGTAAATGTTGGGCCCATTAAGAGCCCATGGTGATGGACTCAGGGGTTCACTATCTCCTATAGTGAAGTCGGCCAGGCCTTGTAACAGAGGTTGGGCTAAACCCATGTGACTGATGTGTAGATCAATGTTTAGGTCCCACGCCATACAAGGATATCCAACTGGGCAACAGTTTGGAGAGTAAGTGAGCAGATGGACTTAATGGGCCTAAAGCTCAATTCGAACTGGCTTAATGAGATTAATTAAAAAGAGGCGGTTCTAGGATTTAGATCAACAGATAGGATAAGGGGTTATCCCTATCCACTCAGAGAGTCCAGATCCAAATAAAGATTTGAATCAAGAAACTTCTAATTAGATTAGGAGGGCTGATCTTTATCTACAGATAAGATAAGGGGTTATCCTTATCTCTTTAAAGAGAGTCCAGATCCAAATTCAAGATTTGGATTGGGAAACTCCTAATGGGATTAGAAGATGCTCTCTTTAAAGGCTATAAATAGAGGAGCAGGGAGAGCCTCTAATACACAATTCTCAGTTCAGAGCTAACAAAGAGAGAAGAACCTGCAGTTCGACAGCTCCTGTCTTCTGCTCTTGCCGCCATACCAGTTCGATCTCCACCTGTGGAAGCGATCAAGAAGTGTTCTTGATATTACCTTTTGGTGGAAAAGGTAATCAGAAGTCGTGCTCACTAGCCCTCCATCAAATTCTTGYTGAAGAATCAGGTTCTTATTGAAGAGCCATCCTGATGATTCTGCTTCATCCTGCACCGTGTCATCTTCGGTGAAAGCAGTTTTTGGATCTTTCCTTGGGCGTGAACACCTTAATTGGAGGTTATTACTACTTCGTATCAGGTATATCCCTTCACTCCCTTTTGGTTTCAGATCTGGTCTGGTTTAGGTTCAAGATTGATCATTGAAAATGCAGTTTTCTAAAATAGGGATCGAGATTCGCACATGGGAGAGAAAAATTTTTGAAATTTCGCCCAACCTTCCTGCAGGGTTTGGCCATCCTAATGATGTATCTCTCATTCCTTCACCTTGTTACAAGGCCTGGCCGAATTTACTATAGGAGACAGTGAACCCCTGAGTCCATCACCATGGGCTCTTAATGGGCCCAACATTTGCACTAAATAGTCCTTGGGTCCAGCCACCTTACGAAAACCCAAGGACTGTGGGCAAATGCAAGATTAGTCCATCAGGTATTACCCTCAATGGTCTTACACTTAACCTCTCAGCCCATAATGATCAAACACTGCCCGACAAGAGAGGACTTCTTCCTCGGCTGCAAGGTACAGTGTTGCACTATCTACTCACATCGATCTTGGGAATTAAAACATTTTTGCAAACATTTTGAAACCATAATATATATGTATATATCTATATAATTATATTTTGCAAAATCAAATTTCAATGATTGAAATCAACTGCCGACAGTTTTAAGTTTCCATCAGAGATAGTGCATTCCCCGATCATTCACTTTGTTCGACAATGGGGCTGATCCTGTCACTATGATCACCCACTCAGATGAATTCTCGGATTGTCCCAACATACCCAGGTTTTGACTCCCTCTAAGGATATCACTGTTTGGAATATCAAAGACAGCCCAATCTGACACCTAGTACAGTACCATAATCGAGTCTAGGGGTCAGGTGTAACATTCCAGTTTTTCCCATCTATCTCCAAGGTCTAGGGCAATACTGGAATTTGGTTCGGCTTAGGGTTTCAAGAAAACCCACACTACATGTACCTCAGGTTTCACCTTGGCAGCTAAGACAAGCCACCCCAACCAACTTGGCGGCATATCAGTGTCAGTCTTGGTAAGATAAATCTCCCTAGATTGATCCAACGACTGTGAAGATTTTAAACTAACATGAGTCTCATAAGTGTCCAGTTTAAGGGTATTACACAGAAACACACCAAATCACATGAATCAATTATGCACTTTATTCATTTACGATAAATGACATAATGCACATCAATCTGATTGGAGCTAAGGGCATACAYTGTCTAACATTCACAATGTCACCTTCACAAAAAAAGGATTGTATCATTTGGGAATTGAAGATGTGTGAGTGGCACTCTATCCCCCCCTAGTATCCATCCCCTTACCAATTGTCTCGAATATGCCCTTAGCGTAAGTCTGCTTAGGGTGTCTACCACAAGTGTAAATAAGAAAGGTGAGAGTGGGTCCCCTTGCCTAATCCCTTGCTTTGTTGGAAAAAAAAAATCCACCACCATACCATTTATTATCACCAAATACGCACATGTATGTAAACACCCCCAAATCCAATTACACTACCTCTCTTCAAACCCATAATGAATTAAGACTTTAATTAGAAAGATCCAATCCACCATATCATAAGATTTCTCTACGTCTAGTTTACAAAGCAAGCCTTTTTTTTGACCTTTTGATTTCATTGATGCCCCTTGGTTTGGCAAAATTATAAAGGGGACAACTTTCCTTATCCTTAATGATAGGACCTTAGCTATTATTTTGTATAGGCTATTCACCAAACTTATAGGTCTAAAATCTCTTGGATGAACTTCTTCTTTCCTTTTGGGAATTAGGACAAGGAATGTAGCATTCAACCTCGGATTGATCACACCCCTCTCAAAGAATTCATTAAACACATCTAACAAATCATTCTACAAGATATCCCAACAATCTTGATAAAAGGCCATTCTAAATCCATCTAGACCTAGAGCTTTGGACTAGCTTTTTGACTCATTTGATAGCTTAGGCCAATCCAAACCTTTAACCCAAATTCTATCATTTAAGGGCATTCTATATATTGATCTAAAGTGCACTACAAAAGCCCTAGAGATCTCCCTTTGTTGAGTGATTACTTCTCCTATTACCAACTTAGATATGAAATTCTTCCTTCTTCTATCATTGGCCATTGCATAGAAGAAGAACGTTTATATGGTTCTCAAAAGTTAAAAGGAGTCTTTGCTTCACTTCATACTTATGTTGAGGTTGAGAAATCCAACATTGAGTTTTTGTTGGATTCATATTTTTTGACATTACACCCACCGTCCCATCTTTGATGCCCATAAAGAATAGAGGTGTAAATTGGGTCGTGATGGGCTGGCACAACACGACCCGCATGTGGCCCGCACAAAATGCAGGTTATTCTGTGTTGGCCTGCAAGCCGTCTTAGTCTGTGTCTCCCTCCCCTAGGATAATTTGGGGGGTCGGCCTGGCCTGAGCCCACACGGGTCCGTGTTGTGCCATGTCATAGGTCGGGCTAGTCCATGGGCCAAGCCTTGGGTCAAGTTAGGCAACAGACTAGGCCAAGCTATGAGAGGTTTGTTTAGGAAAATGAAAAAAAATCTTTAAATTTTTATTTTATATGAAATTTGATGTATACAATTGTTTATATATACAATAATTAAATAAAATAATATAATAAATATATATATATATACAGTATGGGCCAGCTTAGCTGTGCTGGCCGTACCAGCCAGGCCGGAGATGGCCCATTCCATCGTGTCGTTCTGGYATGGCCCAYGTATTGTCGTGCCGGGATGGCTCAATTTCGTGCCAGGCCGTGTCAGGCCACAAGCGGCATGACCCGATTTACAACTCTAATAAATAAGAAAAAATGAAGAAGAAGAATGATAAGGATGGACCTGTTCTTTGGTTGTGACAAATCACSAGAAGCTTCCTTGGAGATGGATATTCAGTGACGACACTACTTTTGTCGTACTGTCGTGTGAAGACTACAARTCCCTCTCTTCTAGTTCAGTCTTAAGTTTTACATATCATCATGTGATATAGATAACTAACGAACCGCTAACGACAGACTAAATTGACAGTTTATATAGATAACTAACGAACCGCTAACGGCAGAGAAAAAATGACAGTTTTTTAGAATCTAGTTAATGTAATGACACATTGAGGTTCGAGGGACGGTTAGCTGCAGACTCTAAAGGACTCGAAAGTGTTAATGGGTCCGGGTTCATCTATATTATTGGCTTTTTATGGTTTGGTTGGATAAAGTGTTAGCTCTTCTTCTAAATTTCAATTCTGTGAGATTTGTATATAAGCCTCGAAACTTTACGTTAGGGTCTAATTATGTGGCTCAGAAGGTTAAAACTTTTGGGGATGGGATTATTTGGTTGGGCGTTGTTCAGATTTGAGTTGAACCCCATCTTTGTAATATTTTGCCAATTAAATTTATAGGATAGGGAAACCTATACAAGTGAGACTGAATATATGTACTCTTTAAATCAAATATTTGCACATACAAGTGAGATATAACACTGCCATTATCATATAACAAAAACAACTTTACGTTCCCTAAACACAACCATATTAGAAGACTGTACATAGGTTCTCTTCGAGTCAAATATTTGCACACAATAAAATGATACAGGTTCTAAGAATAGAACCGTGAAATAAAATAGACACCATGGTTTCCAGATTACAATAAAGATGCACAGGAATTTTAACACATGAATTACACACAAGATATTTAGTAATTTTAGTATGAATATATCTTCTGCAAATCCCATGTATAGTGATATTAAAGAAATTCTTATCCACCATACCCCCATGGGGCTAATTTATCCCCTAATTTATGGCTCCACGATTATTTTTCCAGTAGCATGACCTTCTATGCTCTTAGCCCAAGCATCTTCAGCCTTGCTCAGTGGATGTGTCGAGTCAACTACTGTCTTTAGTTTCCCTTCCTTCACCAAATTAACCAAAAACTCCAGATTGTCTTTCTTGGGGGTTACAAATGTTAGCACGTACTTCTTCTTAGAGAAGGTCAACTTCTTCAATGCACAGGTCAGCAAGGAACTAAGGCCAGGAGTGATATCTATAACTTTGGCATTATCGCTCAAATTTGGAGCAAAGGTTGACCAAGGAATACCAGTCGCACAGTGGAGAACTACATCATATTTCCGACCAGAAGGACTCTTCAAGGCTGCTCCTTTTGTGGTCTTATAATCAAGAACTTCATCTGCACCTAGGCTCTTAACCAACTCAATGTTTCGAGCCCCACAGGTTGCTGTGACATGTGTGTTCCCAAGCTTTGCCAGCTGAACAGCATAGTGACCTACACCACCTGAGRCCGCAGTAATCAGAATGTTTGTTGGCTTGCCACTACCATCAAGTTTGACCCCAGCAGAATTGACAAGTATATGGTGTGCAGTGAGGCCGGCTATAGGTAACCCTGCACCTTCAGCTGCTGATACTTCAGGAGGCCTCTTAACTGTCAAGCTCTCTTGCGCCACAACAAACTCAGCAAGACCACCTCCGGTCTGTAATTTCAAAATAGCTATGATTAACAACAACCAGGATAAGTGATTTATTAACATGAACAAGGGCTTTGGAGCCCATTAATGTAGAAAGATAAAAGGAGTGCATCACAGGCACATATACACATATAATGTATACATCAAAAGATGGATAAGAATTCTTAACTCACTCGTAACAAAGACTTCAAAACATAAATCCAAAAAGCTGTTTAAGATAGATTACCAAAAGAAATAATAGAAAGGCCAGTTCCAAGATATGCATCGAAAGAAAAAGAAAAAAAAAAAAAAAACCTCCACTGGCCAGAATAGATATGAAGGAAAAGAGAGAAAAAGGAAAAACCTGGTAGTACTAATCCAACATACACGAGCAAGAGCCCATCTTACATGCAGGACACATTCTCCTCTTGAGGGTATCCTGGTTGCATGGGGGCAATTGATGTTTTTGCAACAAAGTAACCCCATGAAAATGAATAAAATCTCACCTAATTGCTCTAACCTCTTATACAAAAGGAGTAATCAGTTGCCTAGTACTGGGGCATGCATTCATTAAAAGTTGTAGCAGAAAGGATATAATAACAGGACTTATACAAAATTCAGTCCAACTACTTATTTATGCATGTTAACCATGCATTGTTGCATGGAATCTCCTAAATGGACGAAGTCCAAATCTGATGCATGGTGCATTCTGACACTGGATTCTTGAGGGATGACACTTCTACATAAGACATTCCCTTCTCTCCTTGCTTATTTGGCATAAGTGAGCATCTAATGTTTATAACACTTCCATCTTCCTATATAATAATATTCTTGGTAACAAAGATAAACTTTTCAGACTCAATTAGCTCTTTTTTTTGTATATACACACACACATTTGAAAAATGTAAATGAAAAGTGATTGCATTATTGAGGCTCTGTGCAGAGAAGAAATGCACACCTAAAAATTGTAAATACAGCCTTTTGACCAGAGGTGAAGAGCTATCAACAATAAACTTTAATTGAGGCTCTGTGCAGAGAAGAAATGCACCATGAACCAAAGACATTTTCCTCTCCTACTGAAGCTGGTGTTTTCCATTGAGAGAATAAGCCTTGAACTCCACAGGGACCACCCATTGCTGACTGAAAAACTTCACAAAACGAGACTACAAACTGTATGCAAGTAGAAAATGAATCAAAACATGGCTTGCTGACTCGCCAACACTCACATAAATGACATGAATTCTCCACCTGCACACCTCTAGATGCCAGATTATCTCTTTTTTTTTAATGAAATAACGGAACAGTTTTTGTTAATAAAGAAGATCAAAATACAAGAGTAAAGTCACCCCAGAGGTTGAGATGACCATGAACCGTAGAGAACAAACTGAAAGAAGCCAGACTCCCAAACAACAATTATAAATCAAACTCCAAAACAGAAATCCAATACATTAGGATATAGTCCAGTCCCATCACCCCAGAAAAAAAATTCTCTATTTCTACTCCTTGTCTAGCTAATCCATCTGCAAGCCCATTTGAAGATCTGCATTCCCTTTGAACAGCAACTACCCTGTCTCATTTAAGTGCAGAATATTCACTCAGAATGCGTCTATACAGCCACGGGCACCTTTCCTCTTTTCTAACCCATTCCACCACCACTTTAGAGTCCCCTTCAACAATGATGTTGTAGTTATTCTTCTTAAGCAGCTTTAGACCCTGTAGGACAGCTAGAACTTCTGCTCTATAATCACATTTCCATAACCAGCAGGACCCGAATATAAACTAATAAAACTGAAATTCATCGAGCTACTTTGAGGGAGCTCAACCTCCTGAAAAGGCTTACAATGGGGAGATGAGAGGGGTGGGGAGAAAGAAGAAACACACACACACAGAGGACTGAGAAGGTAAGGATTCGATTATTCTCTTTTGACGAGTTTGTTACATAACATGCTCATTTTATAATCACTAAATGACCTTCATGTTAAGACAGTGTATGCCCTCCAATCAGCATGATGTACATTATGACATTTATTGTAAATGAATAAAGTACATATTTGATTCATGTTATTATGGTATGTTTCTGTGTAATACCCTTAAACTGGACACATATGAGACTCGTGTTACTTTAGAATCTTCACAGCCGTTGGATAGATCTGGGGAGATTTATCTTGCCAAGGCTGACACTAATATACCACCAAGTTGGTTGGGGTGGCTTATCTCAGCTGCTAAGGTGAGACCTGAGGTACATGCAGTGTGGGTTTTCTTGAAACCCTGAACCGGACCAAAATTCCAATATTGCCCTGGACTTTGGGAAAAGACATTTTAAAGAACTAAAAGAAAGGTTTTCCAAGCGATTGTGCCAGAGCATAATCTGGTTCACTGACTCTGACCCACTACTACTGTTGTTGCTAACATGATGGCCCTGATGTCTCGGAATCTCATCCAGAAGGTAGACTCCATTCACCTCATGGCCACTCCCAATCATCTTCTTTGACTCCAGATCCTGCAAAACACAATTACCAGGAAGAAAGGTTACGGAACAATTCAAATTCTGTCAAAGAACTAACAGACAGTAGGTTGGTATGAAGTCTAGGGACATGTAAAACAGAAGACAGTTATATCATTGGTCACTCTAATTGTCCCTTTCCCAGCAATGGGGATATGTGAACCATCTGCTGTAGAGACTGTCTCTACTAGAACACAACTGATAGGAACTGAAAAGGGTAGGGGCATTAGTCATGTGCTCAATTGCTCCTGAGTCTATAATCCAGGGAGGTCCCTCCTTACCTAAAGTGGATGCAAGATTTGCAGTTGCATATGAACTACCTGTATGTGCAAAGGAAGARGTGTAGGTGGCTCCTGCATTCTGTTGTCCATCTGGAAGGCTAGTGCTAGGTGAATCTTTCTTACTCATAAGCTGTCCAAACCTCTCCAATTCTGTCCTCACAACAATGGATTCCCAATCCGTTTGGGAAAGAGGGACCGAAGAGTCTCCTATAGTGGCTACATTTGCATTTCCGTTCTTGTTCCTTATCCGGGCAGGCATAAGATTTGGATGAAGCTTCCAGCAAGTGTCCCTGGTATGCTTAGGCTTCTTGCAATAATCACACACCAAATCCTTCTTATCTTCCCTTCTAGTCTCACTACTCCCCCTGTCTCCATTCAGCTTAGGTTTTGTTGTTCCAACCATAGCTGACTGGTCAATCCCAGGCTGTCTCAGCATTACATTCCTCCTACTTTCCTCTCTAGAGACGAAGGCATAGGCTTGAGAGAGTATCACACCCTCCCTAGAAAGAATATGCTGCCTAGCAATGTCGAATTCAGGGTTCAGCCCTGCCAAGAACTCAAAAACCCTATTCCTCTCTACCAGTCTATGATAGGTTGTTGCATCATTTACACTTTCCCATACCACAGTTTCTAAGTGACCTATTTTCTGCCATAGGGTTTTCAGCATGGAGAAATACAAAGCAAGAGGTTTTTCTCCCTATTTCATACTTATCACCTAATTCCTTAACTGATAGGCTCTAGCTTCATTTTGTTTCTGAGCGTAGGTTTCAGTCACTCCATCCCAAATCTCCTTAGCAGTATTAGCCCATAGGAATTTTTTTGCAATATGAGGTAACATAGAATTACACAACTAGGACATTACGTAATTCTCCTGCACCCATCGGGAAGAGTCTGTATCAGGTTTCTTCTCCTCCCTAGTGAGATATCCTAATTTTCCACAGGCACCAATAGCCATCTTAGCTGATTGTGCCCACTCCAAATAATTTGTACCATCAAGTTTTACTGTAGTAATGATCCCAAACCCAAAAATATCACTACTACCTCCATCACCCAGTCCCATAGTACCGGTAGATTTCAACTCGGTATTCCAACTCTCCATCTTAATTCAAACAGTTCAACAATAAGAAAAAATAGATTGGAAACCTTCCAAAAACAATGTAATATCACACACACAGAAACAAACCCTTTCGGAAGAAGAAAACCCTAGCTGGAGAGAAATCTCTCTCCTCCCCACGCCTCCCAACAGAGAGGAGTRAATCGATCACTCCAGGAGGCTCAGAAAAATCCAGAAACCAAACCACTCTTCAGAAAATCAAAAGAAAGCTAACAATACTTGGCCGCCTAAGATCAGATAAAAAACAAGGAGTCCAACTTTTCTGGGACTCTTCCCCATACTCCAGTTCTTCCTGATTTTGATGTCGAACAGTAGATCACCTTCCTGATGATTAGATCCCACCAAAAAATCCAAGAACTGGGCAATCTACAATAGATCGATCAGCCCTTTATTACTTCATGCAGTCGGCTGATCTAGGGCTGCATGAGAATGCTTCTACAAACCCTAGCCGCTACTCTGATACCGAGTAGAAAGCTTGCTGGATTAAAAAAATATGAAATAAAAGGAGTTTCTTGAAGAAAGAAGGAAGAGAAAAGGAGAAGAGAAGAGAAGTTGAAAAGAAAGGAGAGCTAATAATCTGGTTGCTCCCTTCACTTATTATTTATATTAAAAATAATAGAGCAGTACAAAGACAACTATGACCTTATAGGGCGGCAAGACATAAAACAACATATATAAGACACAAAAACATAATAAAATTTGGACTCACATAACTAATGTGGTCCCCACCTCCTATCTAACAACTAACATAAAACATCTACTCATAAAAACATCACAAAACTGATTAATCTTCAACAGGATCCAAGCTAGTTGAAACTCCCTTGGATCCCAATGTGAAGATGACTGATAGTCAAGGGCAGCCATTAGAAGACCCTACAGGGTATCAGAAACTAGTACGCAAGTTGATCTATCTTACCATCACTAGGCCTAACATCTCCTTTAATGTTGGAGTCCTCAGTCAATTCATGCAGAATCCAACAATTGCTCATTGGGATGGCGTTATGAGGGTGCTCCTGGTCGAGGCTTTTGTAYAAGAAAGGGGGAGATATGTCTCTAGTAGGGTACTCAGATGCAAATTGGGCATGGTCTCCGACAAACAAGAAGTCTACTACAGGTTATTGTACTTTCTTGTGTAGAAATCTCATTACTTGGAAGAGCAAGAAGCAGAACGTAATTGCTAGGAGTAGCATTGAAGCTAAATACAGGGCAATGGCCCATGCTACCTGTGAGCTAGTCTAGTTGAAGCATCTTCTTTGGAAGATGAATATCACAATTTGTCAACCCATTAAATTGTTTTGTGACAACCAAGCTACAACGCATATTGCCTCTAATCTAGTGTTTCATGAAAGAACTAAACATATTGAAGTTGATTGCCATTTCGTGAGAGAGAAAGTGACAAGAGGAGAGGTTGTTGCTCCCTATATTAAATCTGAAGAGCAAGTAGCTGATATTTTTACTAAAAGTGTGGGCCGCTCAAGGATGGACTATATTTGTAACAAGTTGGAACTTAATGATATATATGCTCTAGCTTAGGGGGACTATCAGAATTGTTAGAAGTAATTAATAGGGCTAGTATTGTCTTTTTCATGTTATTCTTTCTCTCTTATATCTGCTGTAACTTTCCTATGGGTATTGTAGTCATTTCAGCCTTAGTAGAATGTTAATACAACCTAGGTCGACAATAAGGTGAAGTGAACAGATTTCTCCTTTCTAGTCTTCCCTCTTTTCTTCTCCTTTTCTTCTATTTCCCTTCCCTTTCTCTTCCTATCTTCTTCTCTTTCTTTCTTCTATCCTTTTCTTCACCTTTTCTTACTTTATTAAAGTTGGAACAAAGACCTTTAGGAAGAAGTTTACATGGAACTTCTTCCAAGAGTGAACATCCTTGGGAGTGAAGGAAAGGTTTGTCGTTTGAAGAAATCCCTTTATGGCCTTAAACAGTCCCCTAGAGCTTGGTTTGACAGATTTAGGAAAGCTATCTTGAAAATTGGCTTTTCACAACCACAAGTTGACCATACCCTGTTTATTAGGAGAGTAAATGGAAAAATAACTATGTTGATAGTATATGTCGATGATATTGTTATCAAAGGGGATGATATTTCAAGGCTTGCTGAACTGAAGTCTTTCCTTGCTACTGAATTCGAAATTAAGGATCTCGAAAGTCATCGCTATTTCCTAGGGATTAAGGTCGCAAGGTCAAAGAGGGGCATTTATATTTCTCAGAGGAAATATGTCCTTGATTTGCTTCAAGTGGAAAGAAAATTAGATTGTAAACCGGCTAAAACTCCAATTGATCCCAATATAAGTTAGAAGTTGATGATGGAGATGTCCTTCCTGACAAAGGTGTGTATCAGAGACTTGTCGGTCGCCTTCTCTACTTGTGTCTGACTAGACCAAATACATCATATGTTGTAAGTGTGGTCAGCCAATATATGCACAAGCCTAGATCATCTCATATACAAGCAGTGAATAGAATACTTGCCTATTTGAAGGGATGTCCAGGAAAGGAGATGTTGTATTCTAATCATGGGCATCTGAAGGTAGAAGCCTATTCTGATGCTGACTGGGCAGGTTCTATTGATGATAGGAGTCTATTTTTGGCTATTGTACCTTGGTGGGTGGTAATGTTGTATCTTGTAGAAGCAAGAAGCAATTAGTTGTGGCTCGATCTAGTGCAAAGGCAAAGTACAGAGCTATGGCACATGGAGTCTTTGAGTTGTTGTGGTTGAAGAACTTGTTGACAGAAATGGGAGTGTAGATTGATACTCCAATGATGTTATATTTTGACAATCAAGCTGCCATATACATAGCCCACAACCCTGTTCAACATGATCGTACAAAGCATATAGAGGTTGATCGACCTTCCATTAGAGAAAGAGTTGCCAGTAGAGATAATTTTTGCTTGAGAAGTTAAATGAAAAAGTCTCTTGGTGTGAACAATAACACACCAAGCATTCTCGACACTTTCTTCTTCTTCTTCTTCTTCTAAAAACCTTCCAACTAAGACATTGGATATCTTTAATCCTTTCGCCACTTTGGACATAATAAGGGGCTGGTAGGCAATAGAAAATTCAAAGTCTAAACTACCAAAGAGTTGTAAGGGAATTCAAATCTCAACTTTGTATACCTTTTAAACTCAATTTTGATGGCAGCATCTTAGGAAATCCCGGCCCATCAGGGGTACCGTGGTAGGGGGAGTTGTAAGAGATAATATTAGGTGCTTTCATTGCATTATACTCTGGACTACTAGGAGTGGAGACTCAATATGGAATAACAGGTTGTGCTTCATGGCCTAACAATCTACTAGAGACTTAAATCTGCATGACGTAGAGATTGAAGGAAAGTCTAAGATAGGAGTCAGCTGTTTGAGAAATAGCTCCAAAGGAACCTGGCAACATAGATACACCTTAAGAAAGAAGGCTCTTTCTATCACAAGAGAATTGGGGATAACTTGGTCTTGGACTCCTAGGGTTGCAAACAGTGTGGATGACCAATTGGCTAGATAGGGAGTAAATAGGGAAAGCTTGTATTGGAGGGCTAATTTGTAATTCAAATTTGAATTCCCATCAGGGAATGGTTAGGTAGCATATGCTATAATCCTGTATTTTTTCTGTGCATACTCATTTTCAGTAATAGACTGATCTGCTGCCCAATGTTTTAAAATGCAGAGGTGCGACATGAGGAGTTCCACTACCTAGAGGCGTGAGGCGTAGTTTAGAACGTAAGAGACATAGGCCTCCCAAACACAAGGAAGCGTAAGCCACCTTAAGAGGAGGGGAATGAGGAGGAAGGAGGCATAAGCCTTCCCTTTCTTTTCCTTTCCTTTCCTTTTTTTTCCTTTTTTTTCTTTTTTTTTTCTCTATCTTTTTATATGAAATGTGCATGTGTATGCCTCTAGCACACCTCATGAAAAAGGCATATGAGTCGTAGGCCTCTTGCACCTGAGGCGTACGCCTCAGAGGTATCAGCGCCTCTGGCATACGCCTCAGGGCATTTTGGGGGTGCCTCGCTTGGAGGCGCCTCCCATGCTTTTTAAAACACTACTGCTACCTTTCAAAGAAAGTAGTAATTACTATTTTTGGATGTGCCCCCAAGTCGACCTTTTTTATCATGCTGAAACAGATTCATGGACACACGTCGGATCCCAACAGTCATATCCAGGTACATACAACAGCTTAAATCTCAAAAGCAAGAAAAGCCTTTTTCAGAGTCAGGAACAAACATCGAGTCCATTTTCATAAAGATTGATGTAAATTGGTAAACTGTCAACTTCTAATGGATCAAATAGTTCTGAAGAAACATCCAGACAAAAAAAGTTTCCTAGTGTTCATTCAATTAAGTAGCACAAGGTATGTCTAGAAACCATCTAACTATGGTTCTTTCTTCTTCAGCTAGGTAGACCAGTCTGTGAGGTTTTCTAGGATCCAATCCATGCCACTCATCTCTCCCTAATTGGACGGACTAACTGCAGATCTTGGTCTATCCAAATTGAGGCCACAAACCCAACTATTCTATTTTTGTTACAAGTTAGATTCATCAGTTTCAGATCTGAACTAAATATAAAAGAGAAGAAGTAAGAGAGAGAGAGAGGGAGAGAAGAAGAGAAGGAGAAATAGACGAAGAAGCCTGTTCAAACCAGAGAGAAGAGAAAAAAACTTACTCTTAGGTCGGCCAGGATATATATATATAGTTTACTCAAATAATAACAAAGGTCTTTTATGCCCCTATTTAAGTTGGGACACATCAGCACTAACTTAAGGACACATCACCATACTAATAAAACTCAAATGACCATTCTACCCTTATTTAGGCGACACTAACAATTTTCATATGCAGTTCATCACTCTAAATATCTATTTACAAACTGTAATTCTTCTCAATAAATCCCTATAGAATAAAATGCAAGAACAAGTGAATAATAGGGGTGTTATCCCCAAAACATGAGGTTGAGTACTCACACCATGGCTAAGCACAGCAACGACTTTGTCACCAGCTTTGAAATCCTTGATTCCAGACCCAACCTCTACGACCTCTCCTGCTACATCAGTAGCTGTTTCATCAAGTTTGAAAAAATAAGTAAGAAATGAATAAACATGCCTCTCATCTCCTTGTACTATGATCTAACCCCACTACAATGCAGACATTTCTGGTATAGGCTATTTGGAATGGGCTGGTTCCACCTTAGATTATGGTTATATTATGGGAGGTTTTCCACCAGAAAATTAACCCCCCCCGAAAAAAAAAAAAAAGAAGAAAGAAAAAACAGAAACGTTGATCGCAATCCAAGTTGAAAACCTTCAATTAGGATATAGATAAAAAAATTCTTGAGGATATACCTGGTATGTGAGGGAATTTGTGTGGCCGAAATGGTCGTTGTACACCTTTCTGAATTTTCCAATCAATCGGATTTACACTTGTTGCCTCCAGCTTCAGCAAAACTTCACCATTCTTTGGTGTTGGAACTGGAGCTTCCACATGCTGCAACAATTAAGATGTATAACTTATAACATCTCAGTAAGCATGCTGAAATCTAATTTATGATCAACTTCATGTTGCTAAGTACTTCAAGTAGAACCATCATCAATGTTACCAGGGACCTTGATAAGCCTATCCATGTTGACACTTGGCATTTGGCTTGCACTATTTATCTCTGGTTATGTAGCATGCATTCAGAAAAAGGAGGGGGAGGAGGATGTTGGCACTAAGCACCTTCAAAATGCCACGAGAATAGACCTCAAATTTTTCTTACCATATTTTGAATCATTTAGGTAATTTAATATTTATTGACAGATGTATTTGTTTGTGGTTCTTTCTAGATGTTGATCTATAAGACCCCAATATTGGATATACTTTTCCGCAGTATCTCAATAATGGATATACAGGCTCATAGCTTTCAAGGTGAGGCTACATGATACAGGGGAAGCTAGGTACTGCCTAGGTGATCTTCTATATTTTAATAAAAACCTTGAATCCTAGGGTAATTCCCCAGGGTCAATGGCAACAGCAATCATCTATCACTAGTAATTAGGAATAATCTTCATAAAAAAGTATAAACTTCATATAAAAACATAGAAAATCAACATATTCATGAGTAGAAAAAGAAGAAAGGAAATAAAATTCAGAAAATATTTTTTCCTAGGAGAAGAAGAATATGGTGATTGGAAAAAATATTAAGTTCCTCCTTCCTTGTGGGTTCAGGTCTTGAAGTCTTCAAGGGTTCAAGACAGCAAACACCAAAATATGTGTTTACTGAACCCTAAAAATAATAAAGTAATGAAAAAACTCATAAAATAAGAAATGCAGTGTAACAGTGTCCATTTTATTATTATAAATTCAAGACACAAATAATGTAAAAATATTTAATATTTTCATAGCATCATGTACAAGATAGCTAGGCTCTTAAGCAAGGTGACCCTCCACTGGTGCCTTGTCACCAAGGTGTGCCTTGACAACTATGTTCATGCCATGCACCAACATAAAAGTTAACAGCTTATAAGTTCAAACACAGAAAATAGAAAGAGAGAATTTGAAGAATAAGGATGCAAAATAAAATTGAATCTATACATACAATAGAAACTAACTTTGAACTCTCAAACTCAACTCAGAAATCAATCAAATGTCAAACTCCTATTCCACATGATAAATAACTTTACCAGTGTGAGCTTGTCCTACACTGCTGGTCCCAAGCCCAGATAAAGGAGGAGGGTGCATCAAGCTAGCAGACACCACTAAAACTTTTGTCAAACTCTCATGATAAGGATCCTGATTTGTCTTTCCGTGCTCATACTAGAGCAATCTTCATAAACGATGCACTACACCCTAACTCGAGTGTAGTGGCAAGGGCTTGTTAGGATGGTCCTCATAAGTGGCGTGCCATGGCAACACCCGGTTGTGGTGTCAAATAGGCAAGGGTTCCCACATCCTTCTGGACAAGGGAGGGTAAAGAAGCTAGTCCAAGAAACACGACTTCATTTAGCCACTTGGAATGTAGGAACATTAACAAGAAAAACTGGAATTATTAGACACTATGAAGAGAAGGGTTAATATTACATGCCTACAAGAAACTTAATGGAGGGGTAAAAATGCTAAAGAAACTAATAGCTACAAATTATGGTATACGGAGGTAATAGAAATGATGTAGCAATAACAGTAAATAAGGATTTAAAAAAAAATGAAACAACTGTAAAAGTTAAAATATTTAGAATGACTTGGGCTTGAAATGACCAACAATATAAAAAAAGTAGTAAAAAATGACTTAGGAGAATATAAAAGACTGTGGTGGTGAAATAAAGAGGTTCAAAATATAATTAGATTAAAATGAACATGCTACAAAGAATGACAAAAAGCTAGAAATGTAAAAAAAAAAAAAAGGAAAAATGTAAAATCATAAAAAAGGAAGTTGAAAAGAAGGTGAATGAAGTTAAGTGTAAGGCCTATGATGACCTTTACCATAAATACAGTACTAAAGAGGGAGATAAAGGAATGTATAAACTATCTTATCAAAAAAAGGAATGTATAAACTAGCAAGGCTAAGAACGAGGAAAGGCAAAGATTTAAACCATGTTAGGTGCATTAAACATGAAGATCAAAGAGTCTTAGTAAAAGATGAGGAAATCAAACAAACATGGAAAAACTATTTTGAAAATTTATTAAATGAATAACAAGGAGAGGGTGCTAATGGAGAAGATTCTAGTAATACTAGTAATGAGGGTGCTAATGGAGAAGATTCTAGTAATACTAGTAATGCTAAAAATAATATGTACCTTCGTAGAGTTAGACCTACTGAACTAAAAGAGGCACTAAATAAGATGAAAGGAAAGCCATTAGGACTAGATGGGATTGCAATAGAAGTATGGAAAGGTCTGGGAGAGATAGGTTTGTTATGGCTAGCCAAGCTATTTAATAAGATAGTGAAAGAAAAGAATAAGCCTAATGATCGGAGAAACAGTGGTATGGTGCCTATATGTAAGAACAAAGGTGATATACAAAGTTGTAATAACTATTGAAGGATTAAACTTATGAACCACAGTATGAAACTTTGGGAGAGAATAATTGAACAAAAATTACAACTTGAAGCAAGTGTATGGGAGAACCAACTTGGCTTTATGCCAAGGAGATCAACAATGGAAGCTATATTTCTTTTGAGATGATTGATAGGAAAATTCAAAGAGAAGAAGAAAGATCTTCATATGGTGTTCATTAATCTAAAAAAGGCATATGGTAGAGTTCTTAGAGAGATAATATGATGGATCTTGGAAAAGAAAGGGGTTCAAAATAAGTATATGATGGATCTAACAACCATTGTTAGAACAACAATGGGAAAAACTTCAAATTTTATAGTTGGGAATTTGATTCTTAAAAATGAAGCCTTGTTGGGAAAGTGTCTGTGAAGATGGCCAATGGAAAGAGAGTTTATGGCATAGGGTGGTGGGTAGCATTCATGGCTGTTCCGATTCAGGTTGGGATGCTGGAGTATCTCGTTGGGCTACTCTATCAACTCCTTGGAAGGCAATAAATACATGGCATTCACACCAGAATAACAAGAGGAGGTTATGCCAAAAACCATGGGAGAGGGAGGGGAGGAAGTTCAAGCTGGCGGGGAAATGGAGACTGGAGTTGATCATTGAAGCCAAATCTTTCCTGTTCGAGCAGGGAAGGACAAAGGGGTAGGTTCACTTGAAAATCAGAGAAGGGAGCAGGGCGACGATTCTCCTACCGGAGGAGGCATGTGTGTGGTTGAAAGGTTTTGTAGATGGAACTGTGAATTCTTTACGGGAAGAAGGTTGGAGAAATTCGTTGACATGTGAGAGTAAGAGGTTCAAAACTGTGCTAAAGAGGAGTGGAAACGGGTGGTTTGTAATGGTTACCGAACTCTTTGGTAATAACAAAAGGCAAGTGTTGTGTATTTCGGAAGGCCAGAAGCAGAGAGGGTGGGCTTCCTTTGCTTTTAATCTTCAGGCTTTTCTTCTGGWGGTCGAAGGGAAAGTGGAAGAAGTCCCTGGCTTGAAGGATTGTAATCCTTCTGTCCTTTGTAACCAGGTGTCCTGCTTTAAGCATTACCCTGAAGTTTTGGTGTCTAGCTCGACTGTCCTCCAACGAGTAGCTTTGGAAGAAGGGAGTGGGAGCTAGGAGAAGAGGATGGTCATAGTGGCAGATAGGGTGATAGAAGATTGAACGAAGGTTTTAGAAGTAGTTGCAGAGAGGTTGGGCTTAGATGAAGATGTAGTGTTGTTGCCTTTTGCTGAAAAGAAAGCTTTATTAGATATTGGCATTAAGAAACTGAATTTCAGTACGTTCATTGTAGAGGGAAGTTTGATTCAGGTCCAGAACTGGGCTCCAGTTTGCAACGAAGTTGAATCTAGAGTTGGCAGCTTCTTGATCAAACTTCTCGGTCTTCCTTTCAACCTTTGGAATGATCAAATACTAAGGAAAATTGTCAGAGCGTTGAGTGGAGTTCTGTTGGAGGTTAACTTAAGAAACTTGAGAGCTGTGGAACTTAAGGTTGTTGGGATCAAGCCGGAGTACTTGCCACGCGCCTTCAAAGTTCTCTCAGAAGATGCCTGGTACAAGGTCTGGTTAGCTTCAGAAGATGAAGCCTCGCTCTGGGGAAGACGAACAGAGGTTGAAGGAGCTGACGAGTCTGTAGGTTGGTGTACACGTGGCCTTCAGGGGCTGGTGGGAAAGCCTGGTGCATGCGGGTGAACTACAGAGGAAGGGGAACAGTCGCAGGGGTGCCCCAAGTCTCGAAGCTTTCCTATTAAGGGTTCTAATTCAAATTTTTTTGAAGTTKRGTTGTTTAAAGAGGGTGGCCCGTCCTATGCTGACATGGCTAAAAGGGGTATGGTTCGGGTGTGCTCAAAGTCATTGTCTGAACTGGTTTTAAGGAAGGTTGGGCCGGGCGGGTCAGTGGATGAGCCTTCACGTGGGGCGGGACAGGCACCGGGTGGTTTCTTTAAAAGCCCACGTGACAACTTAAGTCATCACGTGGGGCAGAGCAGGCATGGGGCAATGATAGATGGCAACATTCATCTATCATCGTCTAGGTCTCGCCCTGTGCTGGGTCCGACGGCCAGCCGGCGACACGCAAAAACACAACGTTCCTGATCGCCCGAACCCGCGCTATTTGAGAGTTAGAACAAAAGAGAAGGAAGAGGCTGACCAAGGTTGGATAAGTTGCGGCTCAGATTCTGACTATGATGAAAGATCAGAAGCCTATGGGAGTTTAGGCAGTGCGGCAGACAAAGCTCTATCTGAAGAATAGAACAGGGATACTTTCAGCCTGGATTGTTTGTTCATAGGGGATTCGGTGGGGGAGGGAAAGGAGGAGGGGGAGGAGCGGGTGAATGATCTTAACCCAAATTTGGCTGAGCCCTTCCCTAGTTCTAGCGCTTTGGAAGAGGCCGAAAAGGAGGTAGCT